GGGCAGGATGTGGGGACTGGGTGCGGAGGGCGAGGTCTGGAGGCTCAGGTTGGTGGCCGGGAGGCTGGCAGTGCCAGGCTGGCACCAGAGTGGTGCTGTCTGCCAGGGCTCCACCCCCAGGGTCTGAACTCCCGTGGACTCTGCCCTCCCGGCTCAGCCCGGGTTCCAGGCGCGCTTGCCCGAGTGCCCGTGGCTGGATCGGGCAGACAGAGGACGTCTTCACGGGGCCAACAATGGGCTCCAGACCAGGCGGCCGGGGACAAAGAGCCATCTGAGCGGCGGGCGGCAGGGGCTTGTGTCCTTGGGTGGGGATGGGAGCAGCATGGGAGGAAGCAGGAGGGGGCTGTGGCCTCGAGAACAAGCGGCAGTCTGGGGCGGGGGTGGCGGAGGGGGAGCTGGCTGGTCCTGTCCTCAGGGATCCTCCAAGTCAGGGCTGGGAGAGAACTGGGAGAAGGGTATGCAGGGGTCCGGCGGCGGCAAGGGTGGGAGGTGCCAGGGTGGGCCCTGGGGGCAGGGGGAGGAAGGACTCCTCCTGGGGCCACCTTCAGCGCACTTGGGGTTTGGGGCCAGAATGTGGGTCAGCCTAGGAGATCAGTTTGCCTGGGCATCGGGCCCCTGGCTAGCTCCCCTCCAGGAAGCCTGCCTGGCTCCGCCCGAGCTTCCCTGTGTATATGCTTCACCCGGGGTGGTCTCTCTCCAACACCGCCCCCCCTCACCCAGTCCCTGGCTAAAGGTGTGGTGGGCCGGAGGTCTGACTCAGCTTAGTGCCAGGCGGGGGTCACTGCACATGCGGGAGTGAAGGTTGGAGTGAGTTTGCCCGAATCAAGTGCCCTTGGCGGTAGGCAGGACCCCCTCCTCTGCCCCCAGCCCCAGGGGCAGCCCCAGATGCTGACAGGGTTTGGGCCCCAGGGAAATCGTGTCCCATTTTATTAAGTGTCACAGCCAAGTGACTAATTATTCCTGGAAATGGGGCCACGCAATCCAGGTCTCCCCTCCCCCCCAGTAACGGTGCCCGGTGGGCACTGGGCTGCTCTCAGACTGTCCACAAAGGCTGGGGCTCTGACTAGATGAGGAAGCTGAGCTCGGGGGCAGGGAGCGGCCCAGGGCACCCGCTGAGGTGGCTGCTGCCCGCCCCCTGCTCCTCTGCCACCAGCCCCTCTGTCTGACCTTGGCCTGCCCAGTTTTGGAGCTGCAGCCCCTGTGGGTCACAGCCTGCTTGGTCTGGCGGGGGTTCCGGGGGCCCAGCAGCTCGGGAAGTCCGCGCTGGGGGTAAAAAGTGGAGGCCCTTCTAGGCAGGGTCCTGCTTCCCCACCAGCACCCATCCCAGCCAGCCCAGGCCTTGGCAGGTCCCCATGGAGGCAAAACCAAGATGGGTCTTTAGCTTGTGGGGAGGTGAGGGCAAGACTGAGGCCAGGGTTCTGGTCCCAGGGTTGCCACGTGCAATCCCTGTGCCCCGGGGCGTCGCTTTCCCTGTGCCGTGTCGGTTTCCCTGTGCCCCGGCGGGCCAAGTGCAGACGCTAAGGCAGCCTGGCCTCAGGCGCTGGGGAGGAGGGGCTGAGGGCCCAGGAGAGCAACAAGTCGAGACACCAGGGCAGGAGGGAGTCTGAGGCCACGGGAGCTTCAGAAGTGTCGTGACCCCTGGGCTGAGGCCAGGGGGGCACAGCCGACTCTGCTGGCCTCTGACCTGCTGCCTCTCGCCCAGTATGTGGTCATCCCCACCAGACGGGCCACCGCCGTTGCCCTGCAGAGCTTCACCTCCCACCTGCTGGGGGACGCCGGAAGCCCCTACCTCATCGGCTTTGTGAGTACTGGGGGCGGGGGTTGGGTGGGGTGCAGGGCTTTGGGAGGTGGCCCCGCCCCAACATCCAGCCCCTCCCCCCACCCCACAGATCTCCGACCTGATCCGCCAGAGTACCAAGGACTCCCCGCTCTGGGAGTTCCTGAGCCTGGGCTACGCCCTCATGCTCTGCCCCTTCGTCGTGGTCCTGGGTGGCATGTTCTTCCTGGCCGCCGCGCTCTTCCTCCTCGGCGACCGCGCCAAGGCTGAGCAGCAGTGAGTGTGGGGGTGAGGGTGGGCCTGCTGCCGGCTGCGACAGGCGGGGAGCGGGAGGGGCATCGGCCTGACAAGGTCCCCGCCTCCAAGCCTTCCCATCCTCCAGATGCTGCCTCCATCTCAAGAGGGAGCCCAGGGTGGCCCCGGGGCGTTGGTGGTGGTTCTAGGTGGGTTTTTCTCCGCAATGAATGGTTTTCAGGATTGGGGCTCTGCCCCTTCTTTTTCCTCTCATTTTCTGACTTCTTTCTCCTCTCTTTACTCCTCTCTTTCTCTCTCTCTCTCTCTCCCCCCCACTCCTCTCCCCACTCCTGGGTTCTCCCACCTCCCCCTGGGGCTGACGAGGTCCCTGCCCAGCACATCCGGCCCGCCGGCCCCCGCGATGCGATGCGCCAGAGCAGTGCCCGGGCCAGGCCCCCGCTGATCTGCCACCTTGACCCCCGCCCGTCTCTCCCCCAGGGTGAACCAGCTGGTGATGCCGTGTGCATCTGTGAAAGTCTGAGGCAGTGAGTGTGGGTCAGGGGGGCTGGGGGTGAGACTCCTTGCAGGAGGGCAGAGGCAGGGTTAGTGGAGGGGGAGCACGCAGCTTGCCGTGGAAGGGGGTTCTGGAAGCAGGAGCAGCTCCTGCGTCACTCCTGCCTGAGCGCATCCCAACCCTGGGTTTGGCCCTCCTCCTGGTGAAATGTTGCCCGAATTGACCAGTGGACCCATGGGAGGGGGGCAGCTCCCCCTTCCTTCCTCAGAAGGCCTGGGGGCATAGGTCAGGGTGGGGCCTGGCCAGGAACTCCCTGCTCGGTTCTGGATTCTGTCCTCCCGAATCCTCCTAGAGGTGCCAGGGCCTGACTCCTACTTGGACCTTCCTCTGGGCCTGGCCTCTGGGGGCTGCAGCTTCCCGGCAGTGCGAAATCCAAGGTCACTGCCCCACGCCTTGGCTCCAGTAGACCCACACCCTTCATGCTACCAGAGCCCAGAGAAAGGCCTGTTTCTCCCCAGAAGGAGGATCGTGAAAGAGGGAAGCTCTGGAATGGGCTCTGCACCTGACCTCTGACCCCCTCCCTCCAGGTGCTACTGGGACAATGAAGAACCCTTGCTCCTACCTAGTCTGGGAGGTGTCCCTCGACGCCCTGGCCCTGTAGGGCTGTCCCGAAGCTTTCCCTGTGACCCACAGCTGGGCACCCACCGGCTCTGGTCTGGGACTGCTGAGTGGCCTTGGCTCCAAGAAGCTGTGTCCTCAACTAACCTGGAAGGCTGTGTGTGCTGGAACCATACGCTGGGACAGACCCCCCAGGCCTGGGTCTGGGCTGCAGGGGCCCTGGGCCCCAGGAAGAAGACAGCCCACTGTGGGTATGTGGGGAGAGGCTGGCCTGTCCCCGGCTTATGTGATCCTGGGGCAGTCTCTGCCCTCCCCAGACTCTGGGGCCGGCGGGCTGGACTTTCCCCCACAGCTTGCTGGGCAAGGCGCTATCTGCAGCTTTGAAGACACGACAACCTCTGGACTGCACAGAGAAGAGGTGGCCCAGGCCTCAGGGAGGCACTTCTGGCTCTGAGGCTCCCTGAAGGGCCTGGGGTGTGAGGACTGCAGCCTGTCAGCTGGGCCTCTGACCTTGTGGACGTTGGACTCAACCTGGCAGAGCCGGGCACCCAAGTTGCTGGTCGCTCTGGAGGACATCTGTCTCTGCTGCCTTGGGCTGGCTGTCAGCTCGGAGATCTCCCAGGTGGGGGACCATCCTGAGAGGGAGCTGGCATTACCAGGAGTGAAGGCCCTGGTGGCAGCTACACCCCACCTCTGCCCCAGGCTTGAGACCTTTGGGGGTTCCCCATGCCTACAGGGCTTCTTGGATCCACCATCGCACACCCCCCCACACCCCCCACCGCAGAAGCCAGGAACTGACTCTGGCCCGCAGGCTGGGCCCTTTCCAGGGGCAGCGGCCAGGGGACAATTCCCAGAATCTGTGGGGCAGCAGCCAGAGCTCCGGCTGTCAGAGAAAGCAGCCCTCCACTAAGCTTCCTGGCACATCGGGACAGGCCAACACCCAGAGCCACCTCCACGCAAACATCAGCTGCTTTCAAATGCAGCCCTTTCCAGACTCCCCCCCGCCCTCAGAGCCACACCCTGGGGCGCAGCCGCCAACCTCTCACCAGCCCCCCAGCTTCCCCGGTGGGGCTCATCACATCCCCTCTGCTTCACACACTCTCTCCCCGTACCTCTGCTGGAATCAAGGTGGTTCTGGTCTCGGTGGCCCCATGTGGCCAGCAGGAGACCCTAAGAGCCAGCCAGCTTAGTGCTCTCTGCCCACAGTTGACTGGCTGGCGTGGCTTCAATGGTGGGGAAGTTAGTGGAGTAGCCCCTCCCCACCAAGCTCTGGGGCACCCTGGGGGGCACCGAACCAAGGGCTGGGCTTCCCCCAAAGACCAGCCTGGCCTCCATTCCCACCCCGGCCTCAACTGGGGCCCCAGCAATGTTTTCTTGTTGTACAAGAACCAGGTCCAAGTGTTGCTTCCTCTTCCTTCCGGAAGCCAAACTGCTCCTTTATTTTTTAGAGCTGCTGATTGTGAATCTGAGAGTCTTAAAAGAGAGAAGCCAAATATATTCCTCTTGTAAATGAAGAAATAAAGATATTTAAGTCATGGCCCGGTGGCTCCCGCAGGAAAGCAGCCTGGAGGGTACGAGGCGTGGTCACACTTGTACCCCACCCGCCAGATACCAGAGCCCTGGGCCTGGCCCACAGTGCTTGGGGAGCCAAGGTCCCAAGCGTGCTCTGTGCCTGAGAGCAGCGGCAGGGCCTAGCCCCGGGCTGCGGTCTCTGAGGCCAGGCCCGCTGGGGCAGGACCTACTAGCAGGCTGGCAGCAGACCTACCACCCCCGGCGCGGAAGGTAGAATCTCAGACAGTGGCTCGTGTATTAAAATCGCGGTGAAAAAATAGGAGTCTCTAGGGCGGATGGGGACACTCACAGCTTTTTCGCCTTCCTCAGCTGCCCCTTCTTCTTGGCCCCGCTCTGGAGGAGGCTGGGGCTCCTGCCGGCCAAAGACAATCTGGCCTTTCTCCGAGGCAGTGCGGACTGCGGCGACTTGCCTGAAACCCCCTTTTGGGGCAGATTCTTCTGACGCTTTTTGGCAGCAGGCTCCTCGGGGGACTCGGGAGTGGCTCTGCTCACCTGGGACAGCTTCCGAGTTTTCTTCTGCGGCTCTGGGGTCTTGGCGGGGCTGCTGGGGCTCGTGGCAGGGGGGTCCGGGGTCGGACTCTTGGAGGCGGGCAGCCCATGCGCCTGGGACTGGGCTGGGCCCTTGCGCTTCCTCTTCCTCTGCCTCTTGCCAGTGCTGGGGGGCTGGTCCCCCCCGGCGGCTGCGGGCTTGGCCGCCTCCTCCTGCGTGGCGCCCTCAGACTTGCGTTTCTTACGCTTCTTGCTCTCTGGCAGGAACCCCTTTTTCTTCCGCTTCATGCTAACGGGGCTCGGCCTGGCCTGAGGGACTTCCTTGGCGTCCTTCTCCGACTTGGGACGCCTGGAAGTGAGCAAAGGAAAGAAGTATGTGGTGAGGGCAGGGCTGACCTCCGCGTCCGTGGTCCCCAAGCTGCCCAAAGCTCCCACACTGCGGTGCACACGTCGGGACGTGTGCAATGTGAGGGTCTTCCCAGCCCCTCCCAAGGTGGGGGGCCCCCTCTCCCCGAACGTACTGGACTCCGAGGAACTTCATGGCCTGCCAATAGAGATCATAGAGGCGGCTGGACCCGGCCGAGTGCGCCCCCTGCTGTAGCCCCTGCTGCAGCCTCGGCTGTTGGCTCTGCAGCACACCCAGGACAGTGGTCAGGTCCATCGTCAGCTTCTGCAGCGGGGCAGGAAGGCTGTGGCTGCAGTGGTGACGTGAGGCATGGCCTGCCTCTCCCTGGCTCCTGGGCCCCGTCCTCCCACCCTTGCCCGGTGAGAGCCTCTCTGTGAGCCCCCCCCCCCATTCTGGACCCTCAGCCAATCCTTCTGCCTGTACATCCCTAGTCTCTCTCGCGTTGCAAGAAAAAAAGAACCCCAGGTGCCATGTTCTGTTCTCTTCCCACAGCCCGAAGGCCCGCCCACCTCCGGGGTGGCCCATGCAGTGACCTCAGGGTTGCCAATACCTTTCCTCCTATCTCCCCCTCCCTGTCACATACTGAATGGGTTGTTTTTGAAATCCACTGGCTTCCAGAACACCCCTCTCTCTCCTGGCTTTTTACTACCCCTCGGAGCATGGCTTCTCAGGTCCACCTGCCGCCCTGCAAGGCCCTGGCCCTGTCTGCTCCCTGCAGCACCCTCTTGGAAGCTTATCCCGCACTTGGGCTTTGATCAAGTGTCTACACTAAGGACCCCCAAACCTCTCCCTCTGAGCCAGACTGGAGGAACCAGAGCCTTGCCCACAGCGGCCCCTTGAGCGTCTCATGCTCCACCCGCCTGGCCTGCCTCCGAAGGCCCAGAAACCCGTGCTCCGCCCTCCCAGCCGCGTCCTCCCGTCGTCACCAGCCCTCCCAGCCCCTTCTCGGCTTTCTTACTGGAGCAGAGAGCCCCCGGCTCACCCCACCCCGGCCAGGCACTGGCTGTGGCACACTCGCCCCTCACACGAAGCCCAGATTCCTGACCCTGGCGTCCAGAACCTTCCCCACCTGGCTCCCCACTTGCCCCCCCTCACCTCTGCTCAGACTGCCTGCCCTGCCTGTGTGGCGCCCTCCCTCCTGTGCCCAGACTCACCTCGTGATGGATGTTCCTGAAGAGAACGTTGAGCAGCTCCAAGGAGGACAGCTCCTTCTGGCGCCCTGACTTGGTCTCGGCCTCACCCAGCGTCCGCAGGGTCTAAGGAGAAGGCAGCCAGGCTGAGCCCCTCCGGAGAGCTGCCCAAAGCCTTGCTGCTGCCCACACGAAGAGATTAGGGCACCAAGGACAGAAATGTCTCCTTGGGGGGACCCCCAACCCACCCCCAGGCGCAGGGTCCAGCAACCCTTGCCCCTTGGTTCCCAGAGCACCACTGCCAGCGGGCGGGGGAGCAGAGCCCCGTGGCCGTTACCTCAGTGACCTTCGCCAGGATCTGGTCGAGCAGCTGCTTCCACTCGGGGTCCTTAAAGCACAGCCTCAGCTCCCGCGTGGGCAGGGTCTTCTGGAGCAGCAGGCAGGCCTGGGCCTGGGGGTTGGGAACAGGGTGACCAGGAGCCTCGGCACGCTGGGCCAGGGCTGAGGGAACCGCAGGGGGACCCCATGAGCTCCAGGAGCCTGCTGGGCACTGGAATAGGCCACGCGGGAGGCACTGTCGCCACAGAAGCTCTAGGCTCGGCCCTCACCTGCCCCTGCCCCTTCTTCTCAGGCAGGTGGGAGAACCGAGGCCTGGGGGGCAGCCAGGGCTGTCAGTCAGCCGGACAGGGTTCCTGGCCCTCCACTCACTCAGTGCGTCTTCCTCCCGTGTCTCCAGCCCCCTAGTCCCACCCCCGCCCCCAGGCCAACACCCATCAGCCCGGGGCTTCCTCTGCACAGGTCAGAGCAGTCTCTGAGGAGCTGGTGGGCTCGGGCCACACAGGAAGGGCCCCCCACCCCCAGCTGCTCTGGGCCTACAGTGGGGGCGGCGCTGGCCAGGTCGGAGGGGCAGGGTCCACCCTCTGGCCCGCCCAGGGCAGCATTCCTGGGCCTCACAAATAGCCAGCCAGCCAGCCAGCCAGGAGTCGAGCAGGTAATTCAGATAGGCCCTCAGCTGGGATCTGGGAAGCCCGTTACCTGATGGCGGGGCCGCGTATGGCTTGCCACGTGCTCGACCACGATGGGGAGCAGGTTCTTACAGAGCATCTGCGGAGGGAGTGACGGGCTGTGAGCTGGGCTGTGAGGACTGGGCCGAGCAGGGGCCCAAGGGGGCGGCCTGGCACTACAACTCACCGGGTGCCGGGAGAAGAGGCTGAGGAACATGGGAGCTGTGAGCGGGCTGCTGCGCTTGGTTAGGAAGGAGCTCAGTGCCGATGAGTAGATCGGGGTCACGAGGCTCAAATCCAAGCAGCTGGCAGCCTGCACCATATGAGAGAGAGCTGGTGTGATGCCAGGGAGAGGGGGCCCTGGCATGAGCCTGGGCTGCCTTCAGAAGACTGAAAGCTGGGTCCCGGGGAAGGCACAGCCTCAACTTCCCATCTGTGAAATGGGCAGATGGTCCTGCCGCCTCCTGGGACTGGCTCCCACCGGCTTGGACTCTGCAGGCTGAGCCTTCCCGGGCCAGCGCCTGCTCACCTCTGGGCCCCGGGGCTGGGTGCCGGCATCAGCGCCGGCTTTCTCCTTCTTCTGGGCCTTGCAGGCGGACTTAGCCACAGCGTTGCCCTTCAGGACCCGGAGCAGGTAGAGGGAGGCGTTGAAATAGTAGAGGCAGACGGAGGAGTCAGCCTGGCGGCCGGCCTGCTGCACCAGCCGCTCCAGCTGGGTGCACAGAGTCTCCACGCGGTCGCCCACGCTGCGGCAGTAACGCCGGGAGCGGCACAGGTGGTGCCTGGCAGGGGACAGCCCCCAGCCAGCCGGATGCAAATGCCCCCTCAATCACAGTCAAATATCAAGAAAAATGAGGAACCTGCCAAGGGGGAAGAGACAGCTTTCTTCCAATGCTGTGGTTGGTTTCTACGGAGTCTTTCAGATGGAAATTAGGCAGCTCTTCACTGGGGCCAGAGAGAAGAGCCTCTAGTCCCAACCAGCGAGAGACCTGATGAATCAGGCACACTGGTGGATCAATCAGCCCACGCATGTGAACAAGTTTATGGTAGAAATGAAGGGCTTTATTTGTTTGGCAAAACACGGGGCAGTTTAATCGCCAGGAAGGAGGAGTGTCTGTTGGCCCGGCTTTTCTGGAAGGGGGAGCCATGCAGATGAGGGCTTCCGTTTCATCTGCAGGCCCCTTGCAGAGGGAGCTGGGGAAAGCTTTGCAGCCATCTGGCACACTGCATCTCGTCTGGATGGGCGGCTGTGTTCCAAATGAGGGTGGATGGGGCAGCTTTTGCCCTGTGTTTAGAGAGGGATGGGAGAGAAACCAATGGAGGTGGGGGGGGGGGGGGGGGGGGGGGGGGGGCAGCCAGAGGTGGTCACGATGTTATTACCCCCCACCCCCACCCCAGGGTCGGGACGCCGGGTCCCATTTCACAGGCAGGAAACAAACACCTAAAGAAAGGGGTCTGACCAAGGGTGCAGGGGCAGGCCCAGAGCCATATGCAGATGGGCTCTGAAGAGAAGCCGGAGGGAAACCAGCTCCCTGGGTGAGGCTCCACCACGGGCCAACAGCCCGACCTGGCCACAGCCCCATCTACACCCGTCCCCCGGGGGATGGTAGCTTCCAGGCTCTTTGTAAGACAGAAACCGGGGCCTGTGTGCTCAGGACCCTTCGGGCCTGGGCGGAGTGGGAGGGAGAACTAGATGAGAAAGTGGGACCTGGGCCTGCAGGGGGCGTGAGCGGGGGCTGCGCTGTCCGCCGCCCCTCCCCACCTGCTCTGTGCTGCACACTCGGCACCTCAAGTTCTTAGGCCTCTCTGTCTCCACCACCTCCTTTGCTCTCTAGAAGACAGGGAGGGCTCTACCTGCCACGCTGTGCCGACTCTCTTGCTGGGCTCCCTGATCTAGCATCACTCACTCGCCCACCTCCTAGCTGCAAATGCCTCCGAGGCTCCCAATACTGCGAGGGCCCGGGCCATGAGGCCTCTCGCCTCTGCTGCGCCTGACCGGCTCCCGTGGACACGCCTTCCTGCCCCGCCTGTGGCCTCTGGGCCTGAGGAGCTCCCTGCACTGCCTAAACTTCTCCCAGGCGGCCTTCCCTGGCACCTCAAGCCTGGGTTAAGTGCCCCTACTGTCTCCCATCCGGCCCCTGCCACAGGCCCAGAATGTCGCCACTGGACGCCCTGGCGGGTTTCCCAGCCTCAGGGATCCCGAGGGCAGGGATGGGACTGGGGGCCCCATGCTAAGGGCTGCAGAACACACGGGCGGGGCAGAGCTGCATGAGACTTCCTGAATGATGCGGGCCCCCGGGGCTCTCGGCTCCTACCCTTTCTACCCAGGGAACCCCAAAGGCCCGGCTCCCCGGGGGCCTGCCCGCGCTCACATGAAGATGCGGGCCGTCTTGTGCAGCAGGTCCTGCTCCTGCTTCGTGCTGCTGGTGCGCATGCTGTGCCGGATGATGTGCAGCAGCGGCTCGAGCACCTCCAGGACCAGGGGGTTCTCAGGCTGCTTGGTCACCAGCACCTCGATCAGGTCCAGGACCTGCAGCCGGGAAGGGTGGGCTCAGCCAGGAGTGGGGACAGGAGCAGAGGGAGACTGGACGGAGGGTGGGGGTGGGGGTGTGGCTGGGGCCGCCTAGCGGGCTCACCCTGATCTGGAAGCCCCGTCGGAGAGCCTTCTCCTTCTGTAGCTTGTTCTTCTCGTCCCTCCGGGCCTGGATGCGCAGCTTCTGCTCGGCAAAGAGGCTGGCCAGGTTCTTGTCCAGGGCCATCATGGCCTCATCCCCCAGCTCGTCGTCGTCCTCGCCGTCAGTTCCGCCCTGAGGAACAGAAGCGCCGTGAGCGGCCTGGCCTCGTGCAGGAGACGCACACGGACGCAGGGCCCCCAGCCCGGCTCCTGCTCACCAGCGCCTTCCCTGCCTGCAGCACCGCCCGCAGCTGTTCCCGGAAGCCCTGGTCCACGTCCCCGTCCCGATCCTCCTCGTCGCTCTCCTCGTCATTGCTTTCCTCCTCCTCACTCTCCGAGTCTTCGTTGCCCTTGTCCTCGCCGTCGTCCGAGCTCTCGTCCTGTGGGTGGGCCGCGCGTCACACCTCTCCACCGCTCACCGCGTGTCCGCCCACCCCCCACCCCTCGCCCCTCGCTGGCACGTACCTCCGCATCCCCCAGCAACTGCTGCTCGGAGGCGTCTGTAATCACCACGTTGTCATCCTCATCCTGGCTCTCCTCGGGGTTTAGCACCTGCCGGGATTCCCAGATGGCTGACGCATCTGTTGGCCCGGCCCCTTCACCCACCTCAGACCCCTGAGCCCTCTCAACTGCCTTCCCTGATCATGGCCGTCCGGTCTCGGCCAAAGGACCCCATTTCAGGGAGGAAGATGGAGCCCAGGAGAGAAACCCACTCCCCTCCAGTGCCTCCTTGATAAACCCAATCAGCCCTTGGCAAACCCAGGGTCAGGGTACACGGCAGGAGACCTTGAAGGAGGCCCCCGACCACCCTGCAGGTTACAGTCAGGACGAGGTGGCAATGAGGCAGCCTAGTGCAGCCCAGTGCTTGGAGAGCCCCATCCCGGGACCCATTTCCCCAAAGGCCCCAACTTACATCCAGGATGAGCTGCAGGGCACGTGGAGTCAGGTGGGAGCAGATGTGGCCGAACACACTTCGGGCCACCTGGCGCATCAGGTGGCTGGGCTGGGCCAAGAGGGCCAGCAGGATCTCCACCAGCACCTCCACCCACGGCGGCTCCTGCAGGTCTGCAAGCAGGGAAAGGGCTGAGTCTGGGCAGGGCACCAGCGCCCCATGCTGGGTCCCTACTGCCTGCCCCCCCCCACCCCCCCGAGACGATGACCCACTGGTGGCCTTGGAACGGGTCCGACGGGGCTTCTCCCCCAGGCTCTTTTTGATGCAGGTCTGGATGTCGCCCAGGAGGTCACAGCTCTCTGTGGGGGACTGTGCAGGACAGGACAGAAATCAGGAGCCAGGCCCCATTCCCAGCCTTTGCTGAGCCAGAAGAGGGGGTGGCCAAGTGGGAGGAGCTGGCATCTGAGGCCTAGAAGACTCCAGACTGCCCTGGCCAGTCACCCTCACAATCCAGAGCAGAGGACCCCAGCCAGACCCCAGGGGCAGCCCAAGAGCTGATGACCTTTTACACATAACACACAGGCACAGGGTCTGAGAGCCCTCAGAGACCGTGAAGCCCAACCTGCCCACTGATGCCAGAGCAGTGGAGAGCCTGACAAGGCTGGCCTGGTCAGGATCACAGGGCACCAGCAGGTCCCAGCCTCCTGATTTGCAATTCTAGATTTCTCCTCCCACACCGGGCTCGACATTGCTACAGAGAAAGACCTGAGAATCATTGATCTTAACAACTTTAAACCCATCTTGCTGGGGGAATAAGCCCAGACTCCAGCCACCGACCGGTGAGTTGAAAATAACCTGTGTCACTGTTGGTACCAAAAAGGCAGACTTTCCCCCATAATGCAGCAGGGCAGCGTCAGTGTTTGGGGCAGGGGTGGTGGAGCGAAGGCCAGAACAGGGCCCAAGCCCTGGCCATCTTTGCCTCCAGCTTCCTGGCTGTGGCTGGGTACCTTTTACTCAAGTCAAGCTTGAAGGTCCCAGGGTCTGGGTAGGCACCTCAGAGGTCCAGTGCCAAGCATCGGAAGGGGCATCGAGACCAATCGTTACCCACACGGCTCGTCTACGAGCTGGGCTGAGTGCCCAAGACCTGGAAGCAAAAACCTCAGCCAAGAGGCCAGAAGGGAGTCCCGTCTCCTCAGACTACTCAAGGCCTGAAGCAGCCCCACGAGAGCCACTAGCCCACGCAACGCAAGAGGAAAACCTTCAGAGAAACCAGGGCTCAGAGCCAGAAGAAACCAGGAGGGTCAGAAGAGCTGCCGGCACTAAACTCCAAACGTGGTCAAAGTTTCTTGGTGGAAAGAAGAGAAAAAGAGACAAAGCTGGTTCTAGAGGACCCGTCCTGAGAAAAGGTATGAGTGACAATGTGAGGAACATAGTGACAAGGCACAGAACCCCACGTGGGGAGCACCAGACAGAAACATGCCACCCTCAACCCACTACTGTGGATTCTGGAAGTGTGAGAGTCAGACAGAAAACTCAGGACCCCGCTTCTAACTGACCACTGGCAGCCAGGAGAACTGCCCCCGTCCGGGGCCGGCATGCCCAGAGCCAGGCCCGCGCTTCTCCTTTACACCCATCTCCTCTGCTCAGTGAGGCAATTGTTTTTTTTTGCGGTACGCGGGCCTCTCACTGTTGTGGCCTCTCCCTCTGCGGAGCAGAGGCTCCGGACGCGCAGGCTCAGCGGCCACGGCTCACGGGCCCAGCCGCTCCGCGGCACGTGGGATCTTCCCGGACCAGGGCACGAACCCGTGTCCCCCGCATCGGCAGGCGGACTCTCAACCACTGCGCCACCAGGGAAGCCCAGTAAGGCAGTTTTGGGAGGTCCTGTGGGATAGTGGAGTCGGATCCCTATGTTTGAATCCTAGCCAACAGCTGTATGGCCTGGGGTAAGTTACTTTACCTAAGTCTGTTACCCCACCTGTCAAAAAGAAGATGCGCCTGCCTCAAAACTGTGGGGACTACAAACAAAGGACCCTGCCTGGGAAAGCTCAGGATGTAGCTGGGGCCCAGGAAGTGGATGGAGTGATTTTTTTCCTTGGGCTGTAACTCCAGACCGGAGCAGTCAGCCTAGGAAACCCACCAACTGCAACACTCCAGAGCCTCTCCCGGCCACCACGGACCCCAGGTCTGTAAGCCCTTCCCTTCCAGGCCGCCATACCTTGAAGAGGTGTATGCCCACCAGGAGTAGCAGGTGCTGGAAGGCAGTGGCCTTGGCCTCTGAGGACTGCGCCTCCAGTTCTTTCAGAGTCTTCAGCGTCCTGGGTGAGACGGGCACACCCTCAGGCACTGTGGCCAGCGTCAGTACCCCAGAGTGTCCCGCCCATGCTGTGGCAACTGCACCCTCTCACCGGTCCCAGGCCTGGCGTTGCTGCGTGGTGAAGGCCACCAGGGGAACCACGTTGCGGCTGTGGCTCAACAGCAGGTCTGCGAACCGCACCAGGTGGTAGGTCCAGGGCTGCCCGTCCTGCGTCTGCCCCGGCCCCTGCCGGAACTGCGTGCTGAGAGTCTGCAGCAGGCTGGTAGTGGCAGGGTCAGGGTCACAGACTGGGCTGGTGAACAAGGCCACACACCTCCCCCATCCCCACACTGTGACCCACTGGAACTCACTGGGCCGCAGCTTCGAACTGGAGGGAGCAGCGCCCCGAGGCCACCTTACTGCCCGCTCGCCCACCCTCAGACCTCTCCCAGGCTGCCCAGCGCCCACCTGAAGAAGGCACTGCCCACCACCTCCCGGGTCCGGCTGTCCAGGGGGTGAGAGAAGTGCTGCTCGGTCTCAGGGATCTGGGATGTGGGCTTCTTTGTCTCGAAGAATGAGTGGAAAAAACAAAACCTGGGGAGGGAGGGAGGGAGGGAGGGAGGAAGAATAACCCGTGTTACCCTCTGTCAGTGCCACCATTCTGACCAGCCCATCCTCGGACCCTCACCGAGGGCCTGGTGCCAGGTGGCAATGATGAGAGAACGGACATTTCTCAGGTCTGGATCCCCAGCAGAACAGAGCCCAGCCCGAACCAGGGAGAGGACCAGCATCCTTCCCTCAGAACCAAGATGTGAGACTGTGTGGCCTTGGCCAGGGCACCACCACTTCTGCCTCTCTTGGGGCTGCAGGGAGGGTGGGAGGGGCGCCTGGCAGTTGCAGAGGCGAGCCCCCCCACAAACTGCCGACGCGCAAAGGCATCTGGGGAGGGTGGAGCCAGCCCAAGCCTCTGAGGTCCCCCCTTCTGAGAGTTCCCCCAAGGAACTCCCCTAAATCTCCTCCTGCCTAAGGGGCAGGGATGACTTGACCCCCCAGGCTCCTGGCTCCAGGGGGACCCAAACTAGGATCAGACAAGAGGCCGTTGCACCCGTGGGGAGTTGGGGTTCAAGCACATCTCATGACGATACCTGGCCACCTCCTCAATCAAGGCCTCCTCCTTCTCTGCATGCAAGTTGTCCACGATGCTGACCAGGCGGAAGATGATCCACTTCCGTAGCCGGAACACGGCTCGCTCAGGCCTGTGGGCAGGAGGCAAGTCCGGAAGCCGTTTAGAGATGGCAAAAACAGTGCCCCCTTGCCCCGTCTTGGAGACAGGAAAACCAATCAAGATCCCCCAACGCCCTTATCACCAGCACGGGGCCACGTGTGAGAAAACCGAGGCCTTTAAGGGCGAAGGCTCAGGGGCTTCCCTAGCAGTGCAGTGGTTAAGAATCCGCCTGCCAACACAGGGACACGGGTTCGATCCCTGGTCCAAGAAGATCCCACATGCTGCAGAGCAACTAAGCCCGTGCGCCACAACTACTGAGCCTGTGCTCTAGAGCCCACGCGCCACAACTACTGAGCCTGTGCTCTAGAGCCCACGTGCCACAACTACTGAGCCTATGTGCCACAACTACTGAAGCCCACGCGCCTAGAGCCCGTGCTCCACAAAAAGAGAAGCCACCGCAATGAGAAGCCTGCGCACATCAACGAAAAGTAGCCTCCGCTCGCCACAACTAGAGAAAGCCCATGCGCAGCAACAAAGACCCAACACAGCCAAAAATAAGTAAGTTTACATATATATATATTAAAAAAGAGAGAGAGAGAAGGCTTAGATCTTCCCCACCTCTCCCCGCCTGGGGAACCACGGTACCATGCGAGGGAGGGTCCAGGCCTTTGGGGCCAGCAGGCCCCTCCCCACCAGGCCCACTCACCCGTGGAACAAAGCGTCCTGGGCTTTCTTCTGGTTGTTGGTGCTGAAGTCCACCAAGGAGTCCAGGTTGGGCTGGAGAAACATGTCCCGCAGCCAGGCCACGTAGCCCTTGAGGGCGGGGGGACTCAGGAACTGCATGACCCGCCAGAAGGTAGGTACGATGGGGAGGCCCTGGTTGGTGACGGATGTGAAGCCCACCACCAGGGCCAACTGCCGCTCGGGGTCATCCCGGCAGCCCTTCAGGAAGGCCCCCACATACTCATTCATCTCTGGAGCAAACTTGAACTGGCTCGGGAGCTGCGAGAGGTGGGCACAGCCCCGAGGTCACCAGCCAGGAGGGACCCAACAGTGCCCCAGCTTCTTCCCGAACAGGCTACGCTGAGGCCCAGGAAGCGCCCTCCCCTGTACCAGCTGGGTGGCCCAGGCGCCCCGGAGTTTAATCTTTGTAACAACCCTTTGCCCTGGGCCCCTCTGTTCTGCAGATGAAGAAAACGAGGCACAGAAAAGCTTGCAAGTAACTTCTGAGGGTCACAGGGCTCCAAGTGGTGCAGCTGGGATCTGGCTCCAGTCAGTCTGGCCCCCTAGTCCGTGCTCTTAACCACTGCTCTGTACTTTCTGAGCCTGTCCTTCACCCAGAAGAGGGGAACAGCAGCTCTCCAGAGCTGGTTGTAAAGATGAAATGAGCTACTAACAAACCCAGCAGCACTTCCTGTGCCTGTGGATATTAGCCTGGTTATCCTCACAATGACTGAGGAAGGTCCTGCTCCTCTCATCTCACGGGCAAGCAGAAGCAGGCACAGAGAAAGGAAGCAAGCTACGGAAGGTCATACAGCTAGCTGCGGTGGAGTCAGGAAGGGAACCTGGCAGACCCAGGTCCGGGATTCCGTGCTCTTAACCACCAGTTGATTCTCCTGTGGAGCACTTAGCTTAGTGTGGGTTGCACAGACTGCTCAAAACAGCATCGGTGATGATGGCTGCTCTCACTCTAACACTAGCTGGGGGTGGAGGGAGGTCTGGACAGACTGCTGGCGGGTTATACAGCTATAGAGGTGGGGGAGAGGTATACGGCTATAGAGGCAGGGGAGGGGTATACAGCTATAGAGGCAGGGGAGGGGTATACAGCTATAGAGGCAGGGGGAGGGGTATATAGATACAGAGGCAGGGGGAGGGGTATATAGATAAAGAGGCAGGGGGAGGGGTATATAGATACAGAGGCAGTCAATGAGCATGGTCATGGCCACGACTTCTTTTAATGACCGAATTGTGACTGGCCATGCCTGGAAGTGGCCTGAGACAGGATATTCCAAACAATAGAAGGAAGCAGTGAGGAGCCCCTACTGGCCTCAGCCCCCTGCATGTCCCCAGGGACCCCCATGGGCCCTCTCACATCCAGGGTCCTATAGGAGCTCTAGGCTAGCGCCCTCAGTGCCCCACTGAGAAGGAACCCAGGGGTATCGACCAAGAGAGAATGGCCCTCTACTGCCTGAATAAGCCATAACCCTGAGGCCACTGGATGCAGATGCACCAGCCCGACCTTTGGCATCCAAGTGACTCCCACTTGCTGCAAGGCTGTGGCCTCAGTTTCCTTATCTGTAAAGTGGACACAGGACAGTAATGCAGTAATCAGAGTGGTGACTGGGGACCATGACTGATGCCCAGCTTGGCCTCCTTGGATAGACAGGGCTCTGGGATGTCCTTCCTGGAAGCCCTCTGTCAGAACCCTGGGAACTGAGCCATCTCTGAGCACAGACTCACCCTTAGCAAGTTCAGGAGGCACTTGCTGAAGACAGGATGTAGTGGTTTGTTTGCAGTAAGAACCACAGCTTGCAAATGTAGGGGAATGTCTCTGTCAGCAGACCCTGCTGGCACCTGAATGGCTGTCAGGGAAGGAGCGGGTGAGTGGGTGAGCTCACAGCCAGTGTCCTCAAGTTCCCGCCTCCAGGGGGTGCTGCAGGCCTTCACGGAGTGACCACGAGCTTGGGACTGTTCCTTTATTTCAACCTCTTCTAAGTGAGTGACCTTTGCACCCATGTTCATAGCATCAGCGTTGACACTTGTAACCCAAGTGTCCATCGACAGAGGAATGGATAGACAGAATGTGGTCCATTCTTACAATGGAATATTGTTCAGCCTCAAAAAGGAAGGACATTCTGACAACTGCGAAAACACGGATGAACCTTGAGGACATGACGCTCAGTGACATAAGCCAGTCAAAAAAGGACAAATGCTGTACAATCCACTGATATGCGGTCCCTGGAGGAGCCAGATTCATAGGAACAGACAGCAGGACGGTGGGGGCCAGGGGCTGGGGGTGGGGGTGGGGGTGGGGGTGGGCCCTCAGGTAGCTCACTTTACAGAGAAGAGACACCCAGGTCCCAGGTCCCTCCCAACAGGAGCTGTGCTTGCCCATCCCTGGCAGGACTACTGACACGGAGAGCAGGAGAGCAACCCTCTCTTCCGGAAGCCAGCTGACCCCAGAGGCGGCCTGCCCCCACCCCCACTTCTTGGCAGGAAGCAGCCCAGTCGCCTGACCCTTTCTGGCAGGGCTGGGCCACAGGGGGCAGCACCTACCTTAGCAGTGACCATGTGCGCCCCGTAATGGCGGATCAGGTCCCCCTGCATCACCAGCTGCAGCTGCTCCTTGGAGAGCAGGGGCAGGGCCGCGCCCAGCAGGCGGAAACACAGGTAGCTACGGGGGCGCAGGACAGAGCCCGGTCAGCGCCCTTGGAGCGCGGCACATCCCTGCTTAACCCGCGGGGAGAAGGGCTGCGGAGCTCAAGCACGCACGCACCTGGCTGGCCAGCACTGCTGCTTCAGGAGTCCTTGTTCCACAACCTCCATCCAGAACCGTGGGAAGCTGTCTTCCTGGAGCGCCAGGCGGAGCAGGTCCAAAGCCACGGCAGGCAGCTTGCGTTCCTTCTTCGCAGAGGTGGCCGCCGTCTTGAGCACAGTAACCAGCCTGCAGAGGAAGGCGGAGGGGACTCGGGGCACTCCCTAAACAGACGGGGCCTGGGGCCACACGGACGCCCGGCCCCAGGCCCTGGCGCAAACCCATGGATGGAGAGGCAGCCCCGAGGCCCGTCTCCCCGCCTCCCTCACACCTGGGGACGCTCTCATCTGAGAACAGGTTGACCGGTCCCATCAGCTTCTCCAGCTTCTTGGGCACCTTCTGCTGGGCCAAGAGGAAGAGCTCCAGGTGCTCAGGGGAACCAAGTACTGAATTCAAGTCGGGCTTGAGGACTTTTGGCAGGACCTCCTGCAACGTGGCCTCCGGGACCTGGCGTGGGGACATGGGTTGAGGGAGGGGTGGCCCCCTCACAGCACCCTTTGTCTCTCCCCACGGGGTGAGTCCTTTGGGCCCTCTTCCACCTGCCAGGTTCCCGTGAGGCCCCTGTCACAGTGCCAGCCCAAGGAGGGACAGCCACAATCCACCTTGCCAGGCATCAGAAGCAGAGGGTATTCCTTAGAAAGCTCACATTCCCAAGTCCCTGAAGCTGGGTTTTAAACAAGCGCCCCACTGATGCTAACTGGCCCTGGGCCACCCTTTTAATTATTCCTCTCCTGGGTTTCACAGAACTAGCCCATTTCTTACACAAGGTGCCCCACGTGAAGGTCCTGCTGGCTCTGTGGCCACGGCTGTGCAGAAAGCCTTAGCCTGGGATGTACTGGTCCCTGCCTTTTCCTCAGCAGCAAAGAAGTCTAGGTACTAGCCCACCTCCATTGCCCACATAGGGCAGTGGGGACCCCCGAGGGGCCAGCTCTGCCCAAAACAATGGCAAATATGTTGAACCCACCGGGCACATGCCAGACACTGTTCGACAACGGCACTATCCAATATGGCTGCCACTGGCCACATGTGCACACCAAGCACTTAGAATGTACCAATCTGCGTGGAAATACGCTGTGAGTGTTCAACACACTGGATTTCAGAAACTTAAAAGAACGTAAACTATCTCTACGGTTTTTGTGTACTGGCTGCATGTTAATTCTTTAGATATAATAACACGTTTTATTTAGTCTAATTAACCATACCTATTTCTCTCTCACTTTTTAAATGTAGTTACTATAAAACGTCAAGTGCCACACACATTTCCGCGGGACAGTGCTGCATTTCCATGCGTAAACTCACGTCTTCTCCGTATCCCTCTACAACAGGCAGCGTTACCCCAGGCCCCGTACCTGTGAGAGGATGTCCACCAGGGCCTTCTGGGGCTGCTCCTGCAAGTGGCTGTAGTGCTGGCCCAGGACTTGCAGCAGCTTCACCGACTGCATCAGTGCCTCCGAGTCCTGGTACCCCCAGAGGCACAGAGGGTGTGAGCAGGGCATATCCCTCTCCCCCCACCACTCCAAGCCAGTCCACAGACCCCCCCAAACCCCCAAAGCTCTTACCTTCACCAGCCTGCCCGACTGAAAGAGGGCTAGCACCCCAAACAGGTTTCCAAAGAGAGCGGGTCTCACCATCCCCTAGAAAAGGATTCCAGGCACTGGTGAGAAAGACCCAAGTGTTCCCCAACCCCGGGGCTGCTGACCTCCCCGGGGCCACTAACTCTCACCTTCTTAACCTTCTGCAGGTCATATTTCTCTCGTATCTGCTGCAGGATGCTGCACAAGGGGATGTCTTCAAAAGCCTGTAACAGCTGCCAGGAGGAAAGGAGGGGTTCCGGGGGAGCGGCCCAGCCACATCCCAAAGGCCTCTATCTCCTCCCTTCAACTTCTGCCCCGAGGCCGTGGACCCCCGCTCCCACCCCAAGGATGCCTCCGAAACTGCCTACCTGCCTCTGAGCAGTGCTGATGACAGAACACAGCTGTGAATGGAACTGAATCTTGCCTCCCTACCCCACGCCCACCTGCGGTTCAGAAAGTACCTCCTTGGGCCGCTAGATTGCTCGAATGCGATTCCCAAACTCTGTCCCCACAGCCTGCTCTGAGCTCCCCCGAGGCAGACCCTCAAGGACCAGGTCTCTGCAGCCCTTCCATTTGTTCAGACTCCTCAGAGCTAGCCTATAATTAGCTGAAGTGCCCCCTTGGGAGGAGAGGGCCCCGAACCCTGCAGAGGTAAGAGAACCCACCCCAAAGCTTACTACCCTCAGTAAACGTACCTCAGAGGCTGGTCAACCCATGTACCCGAAAGCGAACTCAACCTTCCACTGCACCTGCCTGGGCTTCTCTGCACACAGGCCGTGCTCATGCAGTGTTCTCCGCGTCCACGTGGGGACACCTCCCATCCACTCGGATGCCACCCCACCAATTTCTCAGCTGCCACTTCTCCTGCAGCTGGGACATCTGCCCTTCTCACTCCCCCACCGTTCTGACCAGCAAGGGTGAACCCATTCCAGGAGCCACCACCTCACCTGCGCCAGGGCCAGACTGTAGCAGGGCCGGGCTGTTTCTCGTCCGACCCCGAGCCCAGTAATTAGGCGCTTCAGGGAGTACTTCAGCTCCGATGATCCCTGAGGAACCAAGCACAACCCCAGGTGGGCCAGTGAAAAGAACCGTCCGGCACCCACTCATCCCCTCTCCTCGGCGCGCGCTCACCTGGGCCTCCACGTTCGCGACCACGTGACCCCGGGCCCAACTCCCGGGGCCCGCCGCTACATCTTCGCCGGGATCTATACAGCCCCCCGGCCCAGGTCCCGCCACCATACCTCTGGCCTTGCGCGCAGATACTCCAGCAGCTTCTCCGTGGCCTCAAGCCGCGTCTCCTGCTGCGGCTTCGCAATGTCCCAGAAGAAATCCAAAAACTCGCGGCTGTGCTTGAGCAGGCCATGACGGTCGGCAGGCCGGGCGCCACTCTTCGGGGCCTCTCCCGGAGCCGGAGGCTCAGCGACGTCCATACTCTCCGTCTCCGCCATGCTTGTCGAACACGTGGGCTCTGAAGACTGCCTCTTCCAGGTCGGGTCGCGGCGCATGCGCACTGAAGTGGGTGGGCTGGGGGCGGGGCGGCCTGGCTCTTCTGTTCTCAGGGAGATCAGGAGTTTGAATTTTATTCTGATTGCGATGGGGAACCACTGGAGGGTTTTACGCAGGGACAAGGCTTGATCCTACTTACACTTTTAATAGATTATCCTGCTGTGTGGAGGATGGATTGTAGGAGAGCAGAGTAGAAGCAGGAAGCCCAGTTGGATCGGACCAAGGTAATGTGAGAAAATTCCAGCTAATATGGAACTGGTAGTGGGTGATGGAAGAGAGGGATGTTAGGTTTGGGGCTGACATCAGCGGGGAGGCTGTGGTATCACTTGAGCTGGGGGAAGAATTCTCTTCGTTGGGGGGAGCAGTGAGGGGGAGGTGGTGGGGCTGAGTTCCTTAAATCAGAGATACCTCTTACAGGGCGGCTGAGGAGTGCTACTGGCCACGCCTGTTTCTTGGCTTGAGAACCTGTCTCTGGAGCATTGTTCAGAGACCCTGGCGCTCTGGGAAGCAGGGAGGTGAGGGCCAACGCTGGCCTTGAAATTCCACACACCCAGCTCCAGCCCCTTTCGTAGCCCCTGAGAAACCCAACTACTCATCCTCTCAACCATTTCCTTGCTCTGCTGTTTCAGAAAGTGAGAATAAGTGGTTTACCTTGTACATGTGGTGCCCCAGAAGGTGAGCAGGAAGACAGCAGCCTGGCTCTGTGTCCCTGGGTAGGGGTCTCCTGTGTTGCCCATGGGCAAAGCCCAGACACCAGGTGCCTAAAAGGCTGATATGAAAGTGACCAAGTAGGAATGGCACGTGGCGTCCAGGAGGCTTGATCTTTGTTTCCAGCCCAGATGAGGGAGATCAGTGGAGTGTGGCCTGAAGGGGAGCACAGAGATGCCAGCAGTGCGCCAGGATCTGCCTGCCCTGCCCGGAGGCCCAGAGCTTAGGGAGGGGCGTGGCTTTCTTCCACCTGTCCTTCCCGGAGCTGGATCGGAACTCAGGGCCGCCCCCAGGTCCTGGTGTTCTCTCCTCATTGTCCTCAGGTTCCTTAGCTGAAAAAACTCAAGTCCAGGCGACTGATCAGGCCCGAAGTTGAGGGCCTAAGCCAGCAGTGGGCACGTGATTGATGCACACTCTTCATGTACTCCATTGCTGCTGGGCCCGCTCTGCCCCGGCCTCCAGGCTTGAGACCCCTACTCCCACCCACCCCTGCCAGGCACCGCCCCACCTTAAAACCCCTGAAAGGAGCAGCAGCCACTGGGGACACTGGAGACATGGGCGTGCTCTTCGTGGGCTGCCACCTGAAGCAGGGTCCCTTGGCCACAAGCTCCAGGGCTCTCTGTTGGCCCTTGCTGGGCCTGGGTTTGGGGCCCAGCCAAGTGGCTGAGCAGTGTGTGAGTCATGACTCTGGCAGCTGCAGGGGTCCCTGAAGGCACGAGCCCCAACACGTCAGCCTCTGTGTCATCTGAGCTGTCAAGAAGGATGAGGGGACAGGCCCAGGCACTGTTTGCAGACTCGGCCACCAGGTTGCTGAGTACAACCCCAGCGCTTGGGGACAGGCGTCCAGAGCCGAAGGAACTGTTGAGCGAGGAGGTAAGAAGGAGCATAGAGCTGCTGCTGTCCACGGTGGCCAGGACACTGCTCCCAGGGCTAACAGCAGCTTGTAGGGGTGCTGGGCAGGGGGCAGGGCTGCACCCCCCGGACTGTAGAGCTGCCTCCAGCAGTTCCAGGAGTTCTGGGCCAGCTGAGGGGCTGGGGGTGGTGAACAGGATGCCCTGGGGCACAGGTAGCTGCAGTGCTGGCTCCAAGGTGGGCATGAGCCTAGCTGAGGGGCCCTCCAGCCCCAGGTCTCCGGCCAGCAGACTCGGTAGAGCATCCCCGACAAGGTTTGGGGCAGGGGCAAGTGCAGCCCGGTGGAGCACAGCTGCCAGTTTGGGGTTGGTGGCTCGGGCCCCAGAGCCCAGGGGAGTCCCATCAGTGTGGCAAAGTAGGGGACAGAGGCCCTTTGTGCCCTGGGCTGCCAGAGCCCTGGCCAGGGATGTGTCTACCAGAAAGCCCTCTTGAGCCAGCATGGTGGGGCCTACCAGCAGGTGTGGCAAGGGTAGGCGGCCAAAGCGTGTGTGTAGCAAATGCAGGGCAGGCAGAGCCGAGGGTAGCCCCAGGCCAGGGGCCAGGGTGGTTGAGTTGCCTGAGGAGCTACTATGGAAGAGGCCCCAGAACATGGCACCTGGGAGGAGACAAAGGGGTCACATAGGGGTCCGGGGCACTGACTGGTATCAGGGGCACTCAGTAGTCCCAGGTGAAGGGTCACTGACTTACCCTGGGGTTAGTGGTTACTGACTAGGCCTGGAGACAGGCATCAACAACCAGGCCTGGGGTCAAGATCATACTGATCTGGGATCAAGGGTCACAGCCTAGAGTTGGGGCTACTGCCCAAGTCCTACGTCCTGCTCACCAGCCAGCCTTGAAGGCCAGGGACCACTGACTGCCTGAGTTCCAAGTTACTGATCATGCCCAGGGTTGGGGTCGCTGGCTGGGGTTGTGGGTCACTGACCTAGCCCTGTGGCATGAGGATGCACCACCGCCAGACACAAAGCTGCTCCAACTCTAGCATCCACGACGTTGCCCCCGGCAACAAACAGCTCTCAACCCAGGTGGGAACACGTGGCTGCAGCAAGACAGGGACTGGGACCCTTGACCCCGGCCCCTTCCCTCCCCTAAGCTGCTCCTAGCACTGACCTGTAGGGCTGATGATGCCGCTGCGGTGGTACACGCCAGGCCTGTGGGAGTGCCCACTGGCTGGAGGGGCCCCAGAGCCCAAGTTTCCTGGAGAGGCACTGCTCTGCGGAGTTGCCTCACAGCCAGGGAGAAGCCAACGGCCACCGGCAGCAGGGCAGCCACCAGCTGGGCCCAGGCCCCGGGCAGACTGCCAGCCTTGTTCCTGCAGAGAGGGATGTCCCAAGCCAGGACCAGGCAGGCGGACACCCAAGAACCCAGCAAACAATTCCCAGAAGGTTTGGTCTTGCTTGCAGGAGGAGTGTAAGTTTGCCGAGGAGAAAAGAAATCACAGCATGTCTGGAGACACAGAGACGGGAAAGAGCTTGGGGGAAACTGAGTCTCTGGAGAGGAGGTTGGAGAGGCGGGTCCAACCGGTCTGGAGGGATGCCTGAAGGGGGCTTGGCAGGCTTGAGGAGCAGGGCCCGGCCAGGTGTAGCCAGGACCAATCTGCCCAGCAGGTGCCTCGTGCACCAGGGGCTGGGAGCTGGGAGCCTTTGGCAGAGCAGCCGGCAGGGCTGACTTGATACAAATGTCCCTTCAGATGCACAGATCTTGGATTGACTGGCACAGGCCAGGCCTGGGGCTGCAGCCGGGGGTCCCCCCACTCAACCAGAAGTTTCCCAGAGCTGGCCAAGCACGGGGTTGTCTGGCACTCCTTAGGGGCTCCAGAAGGAGGGACTTGCCAGCCTCAGTCCTGAGTTGCTGGGTGCCCAGACCCCTCCCTGACTCACCCAGAGGAGTCCTGGGGCCCCGAGGGATGTGGAATGAGCTGCTCCGATATCTCACCCTCTTCCTCCTCAGACTCCAAGCTTGGTTCCCAGACCAGCAGCTTCTGGTAGAGCACAGGCCCTGCTGTGGGTTCCATGGCCCACGGTGCCTGCCCGCCTTCCAGGCTGAGTCTTTGGAGGCCCTGCCCGAGCCTGAGCCGGTGGGTAGGAGGTGGAGGCACCCTTGGGGAAGGGTGGTGTGGAATCTAGAACAGGTCTGGGCAGGGCACGGGGCCAGGGAAGCTGTGGGTGAGACTGCCCCACTAGGGCACAGGGCCCGAGGGGCTCTTGTGGCAGGGGACCCCATCAGGGGAAGGAGAAGCCCAGTCCTAGGGCCACAGCCTGAGACCCAGGGCACCCGCAGGCCCCTCCCTTTAGGGGATGCAGCCTTTGGATCCCAGTCCTGTTAAGGCTCTAATCTAGGGACCGGAAGCTTGAGTGAGAACTGCAGTACCTTGGCTTGGATCAGGGCTCAGCATGTGACTAGTTTCTGGTATGGGGGTTTCTGGTCTCTGGCTTGGGTCAAGGCTCAGCCTGAGGCCACTCCAGGGGGCTGGGTTTCCCTATCTGGGGAACAACTTGGGTGGTGAAGGTACCTACCTCCCTGGGCACGTCATGCGGCCCTTATCCAGCAGGTGGCGCCATAGGGCTCCTGGGGAGCTGCAGCCTGGAAACCAGGTGTTTCCATATTCCTTCACTCTGGGTTTCACTTCAAGGAGTTCTATGGGAAAATCATAGAACTCCAAAGAGTGCTGCCATCTCATCTGTTCTCCAGTCATCTCTGCTGACCACGCTCTGCTATGAGCACCTCAAATCCCAAACCCTCCGCTATGCTCTCAGCAGACCACCTGTCCTCCCACTTCACATAACAAATCAAAGCCAACACAAGCAGCCCTCTATATCCACCCCCAACTACAAACTCACCTTCCACCCAGCTCCAGTGGAAAAGCCTATTCCCTGCCTCTGGTTCTGGCCCCGACCTCTCCCCCACTTCTTACCTCCTGCTTCCCCAGGGACATCACTCAGTGACCCCTTCTCTCCTGTAGCTTCACATCTTCTCTGCGGGTTCCTTCAACAACATTTAAAGTGTCGAGTCTCCAGAAATTCCTCTCCTAGGTATGTACCCAACAGACATGTACTAGAATGTTCATAGCTGCACTAGTTGCAACAGCCCCAAATTGGAAAGCTCACACCCATTATCAGTAGCATGATTGTAGTTACACGGTGCAATGCTCTGCAGCGGTGAGAATGAGGGGTCTACAATTGTATGCAATGATATAGATGGATCTTAAAGACACGACGACTGAAAGAAGCCAGGGCCAAAAGAGCACATCCTATTTGCTTCCATCTGTATAAAGTACAACAGGTGAGACTAGTTTCTGCCATTACAGGTCAGGTCAGGAGGAGGCAGAGAGGGCTTCTGGGATGCTTGGTGATGTTTATCAATCTGAGGTCGGTTGCGTGGGTTCCTGATTGTGAAAGTGCATCCAGCTGTGCATTTGTGACACGCGCACTTTTCTGGAGGTATATTGCATTTCAATAACAAGTTTTTTTAAAAAGCTGGAGTATTTTCTCCATTAAAACCACAGCCACAAAATTCGTCCTTTCGTCTCACTCGGCTCTCCAGCCACTTCTCTTTCTCTCGGCCTCTTCACAAGCAGGTTGAGTGGTTAACTTTGGTGTGCATTGGGAGTTTTTAAAATCAGATTGCTGGGCTCTGCTCCCAGAGGTCCTGACTTTGTAGGTCTGGGGGAGGGGCCAGAAATTTGCTTTCGGAACTCCCAGGTGATGCTGCTCCCAGTCCTGAATGAGCACTGATCTACAAAAGATACACACCTGCTGTTGCCACTTCCATGCCTCCCATTTTTTCCCCTTCAGCCCACTACAAGCTGGTTTCCATCGCCAACCCGCCAGAGAAACCTTCAGTTTCTAGGTTTTCTGATTTCTTGGACCAATAACCTACCAACCAATCAGAGATACCAGCATAGGGTGGCCAACTTTTAATTTTGCCATAGCTTGGGTGTGGGAGGGTCACAACTACCATCTGTGTTCATTTCATAAAATAATTTCACTTCCTGTTAATACAACGTGGGAAGGTTATAGTGTCGGAATGAAGGTCAGGCCTTCCTTCCTAAGAAAACGCAGCTGGAAACCTTATGTATCTATATGCCCCATCCTCAGACTGGCCTCTGCACTCCTAGCACTGGCTCCCTTTATCCAGCAGGCAGTCTTTGGCACCTGTCCAGCCAGCATTCCTCTGTCCTTAGAACTATGCCCTGGCAAACTCTTTGGGACCAAGACCTCCACTGACTGGGTCCGGGGGACCTTTCCCTGTTTGGTCTCTCTCATTCCCATAGCTCTGGGCCTGGACAGCACTGCCCCACACCCCTGGAGGTGCCTATTAGCTAAGCTCCAGTTAAATGCCAGACAGGCTTTGGGGGTGAATAGTGGTCAGGCCAAGGGGCAAAGGGTGCCAGTCATTTCAGTGAGAGTTGGGAATGGAACTGGCTTCCAGAAACCTGAGTCTGGGCTGGTCTACAAGCTTTGCCCAGCTATGAGACCAAAGAGCCCAGAGACAGTGACAGAGATGTCAATGACTTATTAGGTAGAGAATCTTACAAGTCTGAAGCAAAGTCCTGGAGGGGCACCCCACCATAGATGGCGAATGGCGGGCGGGTGGACGGCAGGCGGGCGGGCACCCCACCACGGATGGCGGGCGGACGGCGGGCAGGCAGGCACCCCACCATGGATGGTGGACGGCAGGCAGGCAGGCAGGCACCCCACCATGGATGGTGGACGGCAGGCAGGCAGGCAGGCACCCCACCATGGATGGTGGACGGCAGGCAGGCAGGCAGGCGGGGGGGCGGAGCACGGGGGGG